AAACACAGTTCTATGTATGTCAAACATGACATTTTATAAGCATGATTAATTAGTGAATGGGCTGATAAGGTATGATTTATTACAAACTGGAGTCTTGGCCAAACATCTGTTCATCTCACTCCAGTGTGAGTCATCACTGATATTTAAATGCTCACAAATTGCTTAATTGTGCCTGTCATCCATTCATAATGAACATCCTTTTAAAAAAAAATAGTTTTTGTGAACATCACAGTATAAATTATGAAAACATGTTACATTTGAGAAGTCTTACTGTGGCCCATAAAAAATGCTTCTTACTGCTCTTTATTTGTTTTCTCTGTGATATCATGTGCTGCCCAAAAGATTGTATGCTTTCCTCCCTAAGGCTGAATGATTTTCAGCACCCACACTCGCAAATATTTTTATTTAACTGAGCTTCTAGTTGCTGCAGTGTTTGGATCCTCTTTTTTCTGATTCTTTACAGCATGTTTGTTGTTGTTGTTTTTTGTTTTTGCAGTAGATGAAAGTGTTTTTTTCCCCTTCTCTGTGTCACTCACTACAAAGATGTGTAGGCCTATATGTTGTTCTTATGAATCTTAATCTTGAAAAGGAATTTACATAAAGTGAATCACTTCAAAGCTATTTGCACATAATATGGCTTTTATACAGCTACAATGCATGTGGTGTATAGATACATACAATCTATATTTAGTTTTTTAATGATTTTTTATTTTTGAACTATCCCTTTAATGTGCATTTCTGGATGTCTAAGTATTTTGGGTTTTCTCCTTTTTTGCTTTAATGACAGCATCATTTGAGCTGCATGATCCCCACAAGTTTGTGTCAGACCTGATGATCATGTTCTCAAGCATGATTTGAGATGATTCAAATAGCAACAAAGAGCTTCAGTTGAGCTTTAGCATCTGTAATGTCTGTCGAAAGAGTTCACCAGATCACGATCACAAATTTAAATAGTGACCTAGAAATATTGCAGAATCTTAAATATGTATTATTCTTTTTGCATCATAAACTTTTAATTTCCACATTCTGCTTAAAATTAGATTTTTAATCCTTGATTTTTTATGTGGTCACCACATTTGGGAACACCATTGTCTACTTGTGTGGTTAAGTAAATTGCAATTAAAAATACAATATATTGTGCAAATTTGGTGTTTTTTTGTTGTTTCACCAGATCAATATCTGGCACATACATGACAGTATGTGTGTGTTTTTAAATAAAGTGCTTGTTCTGATAACCTGGTTCTGATTCAGGTTGATTTGAGCATTAATTCCCTCATGGTGCTGGAAGAGCAGACGTTCATGGCCCTTTTAAGGCTATTTGTTCCATATACACCTTGTACCATGTCATGATGATTTCTTATTCTGTTGTGTTTGGAACAGTAGAGTGATTTATCATACCTTGAGTTTCATGGCCAATATCGAATTTTGACCAACATCCAGCAATAGAGGAGTGGTATAGGTGGTACTTAGTTAAAGGGATAGTTCACCCCAAAATAAAAAATAAATTAAATAAATAAATATACATACATACATACATAAATAAATAAAAAATCTGTCATCTTTTACTCACCATCATGTCATTCCAAACCTGTATGACTTTCTGTCTTATATAGAACAACAACAACAAAGATATTTAAAAAAAAATGTCTCAGAGGTTTTTATTTTTTTATTTTTTTATTTTGGAAGTCAGTGGTTACCAAAACTGTTTGGTTACCACAGCATTCTTAAATATCTTCTTTTCTGTTCCAAGTCATACAGGTTTGGAAAAACTCAGATTCATTTTTGGGTGAACTATCTCTTGAAGAATTACATAAAATAAAGACAATTTAGAGTTTTTTATTAGTGTCTATGTATTGCATCTACAAAGTTTTTACTGTGTCTATCAAAATACAATTTAAATTAAAACAATTATACTGTAAATAATAGGATATAATAAAATTAAAAAAGTTAAAATAGTAATGTAAAAATATAAGCATATTTTCAAATATCTTTTTTTTTTCTCTCCAGCATTCTCATAGCTTTTGTCTCAGTCTGTATTTAGCCACCACATTAATGTAGGCTGTGGTAAATAAAGAGATGTGTTTAATTGTGCTGTTGTCCTCTGAGTCTTAGATCCAATGAAACAATGTGTCTAATCTCATATTCACAGAGTTATTGGCCCTTCCACATGAAGCCCAAGAGAACAACCTAGACTCTGATGTACTAGTGTTTGAAGGTCTGAACACACATGGCTGATGTTAAGACCTCGAACAATGGCTTTCCATGCGGACTATTATCAGCAGAGCTGAGATGTTGAAAGCTGTGCCGTTGGGAAATAGAGAACAAATGTTATTGTGTGTTAATTTGGCGGCGAATGCATATTGAATGGATTCCTTTGTCAAATGCAAATGTGCACATTACACTGTGTTTAATATGCAAACAATGGGATAATTACACAAACATGCAATAATAATAAAAAAAAAAAAAGCAGGCATAAAACTAGTCTAGTCTGTCATAGGGAACCTTTTCAAACATTGAATCATCCATCATTGTTGTATACAGTGGCATGAGGCAACTCAGATATGCACCGATGCTCGGGTAGGACATTGTCATTCTAATTGTAGTTTACAGGAAATGACTGAAGATTTCAGCCAGACTTTATTCAGGGGGTCTGTCCGTAGAGTCTTTTTTCCCCTCTGGCATGTGCAGTGTCATTATTTGTTTAGTGAACTTCTTGGTTTGATACCTGAAACAAGGTTCTGTACTGACAGTATGACAGTAAAATGTGCCTTTGTCTGCCATTTTTATTCCGAATTCACTTTCCATCCCCGTCGCTCTGAAGATAAAATGCCTGATGTTAAAATTCACAAAGAACATCTTTGAACCATATGCAATCTGTGCGAAATCTTAAAGGGATAGTTCATCCCAAAATCATTTACTCTTCCTCATGTCACTCCAAACCTCCAAACCAATCCTTTCTTATGTTAAACACAAAGATTTTTTGGCTTTGATTGTATGAACAAAAAAGCACTGAAACATTTTTTAAAATATCTTCTTTTTTGCTCTGCAGAAGAAAGAAAGTCATACTGGTTTGGAACGACAAGAGGTGAGTAAATTCATTTTTTGGTAAACTCTCCCTCTACATATTTACAGTAAGCCTTATATTGACTTGAATACTGGAAGAATTCATTTCTTATTCATTACAGCACTCACTTAGGATAAATATTTTACCCTTAACCAGTGCATCACCAAGAACTGACCCCAGCATCTGCTTAACAGCCGCAAACTGCCCATCACATGTTTCAGTTAGATCTCAAAACCACGCTCACACATTACGCATGTCTACATGAGCGCTTGTTATTTACAGGATGTGTCTCATTCCAGAGTGGTTGACTCACATTACTCGTGTAAGAAACAACCTCTGAATAACGATCGCACAACAACTGCAGAAGCTCTCCATCAGCAATTCAGTTTTTTCCACATTTAATGTGGAAGAAATTCTCTTTGTGGTCACTTTAAAACAGGTTGTTTATACAAAAATTAGCTCATACCTTCAAAACGTCCCACAAAGTCTCCTGAGGATTAAAGCGGCGTAATCCAGTCCTCCAGTCGCTATTGCAATAAACTATTCGATCTCGCGCACACGCTCTCTTTCTGGTCTTCTCCTCAATCACTCTCTGTAATGCGCTCGCCCTCTCGCTCTCTCTTTGGCTCTCTTTAACTTGCCCTCTCTCTCTCTCTAACACACTGTCTCTCCCTCTCTCATCTGAGCATTGTGCAGAGCTCTGTGAAAACAGAATGAGGGGGAGAGCAAAGCGCTTGCTGAATTCAGTATTCACCCCTGCAGTGTCAAGGGGACAGAGAAGTGAGAGAGAGAGTGAGGCTGGCTGCTGTAATGCTCATATGCGCTCAGGACTGATGCTCTTGGAACTGGGTGCCTGTGGGTGTCAGAGGCTGCTCGTCTGCCGTTACTTCCCTCCCAGAGATTGGCTCTCCTCCCCCTTTAAATTGCTGGATTAATGCGGGTCCCACCAGTGCTAAACATAGTCGGCGTAGTCAGCTTTGCTGCGTTACCCTCAGGGGACATAGAGATTTTCAATGAACAAGCTGAAGGATTTTTTTGTCACATTCAGTTGTTTTCACCTTACGTGTGAACATAGAACATTAGTGTATTCTCAAAATCTTCTGGCTAAATTCACTTTTCCAACTGTTTTATGGTTCTTTTTTTTTTTTTTTGACGAAAACATACTGTGTTAATCAATTAATAACTTTTGATGTGTGAATCTCTGAATGTGGTTTGACCCAGTTAAAGAGACTTTTGAAGTATTTTTATGGGTGGGAAGAGGTTTTACAGTTTAGTTTTTTTTTTGTGGTGCATACATGCATTTGGATTTGAAAGATTTCCTATAGATTACATGTGTTATACTTATCCGCAAGGCTATATCTGTCATTCACAATGTTTTACAGATCTCTTGCCTGTCGAGTGTTTGTTTATTAAATATAGGGGCATATTACAGTACTTATATTTAGTGTTGGGGGTAACGCATTACAAGTAACACGAGTTACGTAATCAGATTACTTTTTTAAAGTAAGACATTACTTTTTAATTTAGAAGGAAATATCTGAGTTACTTTTTCAAATAAGTAATGTTACTTTGTTTCCCATGACTTGACTGACAGCTCTCGTGTTGCCATGTTGAGAGAAATCGGGAGTAATTGCAGAGGCGTTGTGTTCGCCATGTGAACATGATGTTACTGTAGTTCTTGACTAAATATGAACATGTATTTATTCTCCTGCACAAAAAAAGATTCTGTATTCTTCAAAATGAATAAAATATTAATGAATAAATTAATATTTAAAAAGTGATTAAACAACTCTGATGAGAATAACTTGTTGCTTTACACAGTGTTAGTTCTGCCTCAATGTAATATAATTATTAAATATAATTTTTTTATATTTTAATTCTTTTTTTTAATAATATAAATACAGTACATACATATTTACATTTCATCTGCGATTTTCCTTCAAAAACACAGATTCTGTCTGGAAACTGGTGTTTATTATAACTTATACTACGGGGCCGTTGAATGCTTGAATCTGATTGGCTGACCAACATTCTAAAGTGTGCAATTATTTTCAGGGAAACGCACGGCAAACGTAGTCCCAGGCAGCTCTTGACCGCATTACATGTAAATATCACTTCGCCAAATGATTTCAGTTATTTCAAAGGTCCTTGCAGCTTACAACAGCAAAATGACCAAAACCCACAACACTGGTCAAACAAATAAATATAGCAAACAATAGGATACAAATGAGAGATTATTTCCATGTTTTGCCACAAAATTAAGTTTTATTGTGTACGTAAAGCACATACTCTATTTCTCCCTCTCTCTCTCCTTTGACACACACATAGTTTGCACACACAGATATGCGCTTATGTTGTTAGCGCTATCAGTTTTATTAGTAAAATAGTTTAGCAACTTAAGAGCTACATGACATTTCTTACAAGCTAGGTAATGACGGCGCTGTTCATGAAGAAAATTAACTTAAAGTTTCACTATTAGTAGAGGCACTGCTGCCGAACACTTTTGAGAGACACACAGACTCTCAGAGGTAACGTAATTCACACGCTCCCTCTCTCTCTCTCTCTCTCTCTAATAACTTGATTAAATAGTTGCATAAGTCTGCTATCAACGGCTCAGTCCTCCGTTACTAGATCTAAAATGACATTTTGGAATTAGCAACGGAGGCGTTGTATGAGATGCGGAAGAAACTAATCCTACCCACAATTGCGTTTTAAGTACAAAAACTGGACGAATGCCTTGAAGTATATCATCTGATCGATGTCTTGAGGTGTGGCAACCATAGTATAAGCGGAATAATTGACTCCGGGCCGTTGAATTATTAGAAAAATAATGCACACCCGAGGTGTAGCGTGTGCATTATTTTTCTAATAATTCAATGGCCCGTCGTCAATTATTTCTTAAATGTCATCTTGAGCAGCACATTCAGTGGTGAACAGCCTTGCAGCAGTTCGAAAGTCACATTAAACGTGCTAATGTCCATCTGAAGCATCTCACATTATGGAATTACCCCTTTTTTTTAGAAGCACCCAAGAATGTGGTCGAAGAATCTCACAGAACTCAATCACAGGCACATTCAGCTTGAGCAAGAAAACATAAAACGAATAGCTTGGGGTAAGCACATATTAATGTTCAGTGTGTAAACAGCAAAATGGGCTTTAAAGCCATCTATGCTTAATGGAGTACAAGTGTGCTGACTCTGGGCAGTTTAGATCAAGATGCAACACAATCAAACAGCACGCACAACCACTAAATATCTCTACCTACAACCTAGTAAGCAGTTAAACAAGGCACAATTATCTTCTGTAATTGGACCATTAACTGTGACTCCAGTCCGGTCTTCCATTTACTTACAACCTACGTATGCAAAGCCGTTGAGCACACTAATGGTGTGGCTAAAAACATGCTGGGTGATACAGAGTGCAGTTATTTGTGTTTCTGGGTTTCCTCATCACAAACACTAATTTACTGCCAGTCAGGCATTGGCGTGAATCCCCGAGTCTGATCATCCTCGGAGCAGATGGCATGGCAAGCTTCCATCCTGAGTTAGACTAAGAGATAATCCTCACAGCACATGGTGGGCTATAACACAGAGACTCTTATTTTTGGAGTGAGGGGGGTCCAAGTGTGGGAGTGGAAAGTCTCTAAAGTCCTGCAAGCTTCAGTGGAGGCCAAACCATCAAGGCGTTGAGATCATCCAGGCCTCCAGGTGTGAGTCGAGCTTCTACTGATTACGGTCTGTGATCTCTTAACTACTCACACACATAGTGCATCGAAAGAGGCAGATGTGAACATATATGCCCTGTTTGCACCTGGTATTAACATTCAGTGATCCGATTACAGTAGGTTAGAAAATGAGTTCCAAAATGTTGTATGATCTGATCACTGAAACCACATTCGGAGAAAGTCAGAACCACAAGTTAATACAGGTGCCCGAACTGAAACAAAAATGATAACAGTTGCGGTGAAATTTGAACATGTAGAAGTATGTTTGAAAGCAAAAGTGTGCTTTTTTTAAAGAAACCTTTTTTGTTGCTTTGTCTGTAATAAAATCAAGACCAGGTTTAAATGTGGTCATAGTGTGCCATGATGTTTCCTACAACTCAGGGCTTTCACCTCAAATAACATCTGTGCTGCCTGTCATTTTGAGTGATGTAGATTAGCAGAGTAATGTGTGTGTTTGTTTGTGTGTGCCTACATACCCATATTTTGGGGACAAATTTGTACCCAGAAGTGAGCTAATTCTGACAAACCCTTCTTTTGGAGACATCCATATTTGTAAAATGTGATAAAAATAAATTAGGTAAAGTTAGCTAAAAAAAAGAATATCTTAAAATGGTTTAGAAGATTAGAATTCACCATTGTATTTTTTATTAAATTTCAGAATGCTTTACATTTTTTAATTGAGGCTGCAAACATTGTTTGATTTTTTTTTATGTATTATGTGCCTTAGAGACAAAGAAACAGATCTGTTTTAAATGTCACCTATAGTGTCTAGTTTCTGTACTTAATTTACACATTACCATTCAAAGGTTTAGACTCACTAAATATAATACTTTTTTTAAACAAGGACACACTAAATTGATCAAAAGGGGTGTAAGGACATTTTTAATGTTACAAATGATTTATATTTCAAATAAATGCTGTTCTTTTGAACTTTCTATCTATCAAAATATTATGCAGAACAACCATCTTCAACACTGATAATAAGAAATGTTTTTTAAGCACCAAATCAGCATATTAGAATGATTCTGAAGGATCACGTGACACTGAAAACTGGATTAATGGCTTAAAATGTCTGCTTTGTCATCACAGGAATAAATTACACTTATACAATTATACATAATATATTTCAAAATAGAAAATGGTAGTTTTGAAATGTAATACAATTCTAGCTTTTACTGTATTTTTAAATAAATAAATGCAGACTTGGTGAGCAAAAGAGGATCAAGGTTGAATAACACTTTATTTCCCAGAATCCCATTACCAGTTGAATTTTCTATCAAATGTTTTATTTATTTATTTATTTTTTTTTTTTGTGGATAGGGACAAGAGATAGAAAATATAATCATCTCAGTGTAAAAAAAAAAAGGAAGTCATTGAAACTGTCCACCATGATAGGAAAACAAATGTGTGATTGTTTTGCTTAGGGAGCAGTGTGGGTTCTGAGCTCTACCACAGTAACAGGTTGTTTGGCAGTTATCCTCATCCATTCACTTATTAATGAATATTATTAAACGCTTTATTGTGCAGCAAAGATTTCAATGTCAAAAATGTTTCACCATACCCGCAGTGGGAGATTCAGCATAAAGTTGTGACAGATGGGTAGGGATATCATCTCAATAAGGGTATTTGAAAGACAATCCGTTGCATTGCTGATGAAAAACCACATATAATTTATCAGGCAGGAGAGGGAAAAACACAGTAATTTTAAGATTTTCCCTGTGCTCCTTCCATCAGATGGCATGTGACAGCGATGGTTCATTTCTCTGGTCAATGTAGATCCATATGGAGCTTGCTGCGATTCAGTTCCTTTGAGAGAAGAAAGGGCTCAGAGTCCAAGCGCAGTATCTGAGAGGCACAGGAGGAGTGAAGGAGACCACCT